GACTGAACACAGCTGAAGCTTTTTGTCAGAGAAAAGCTGCTGGGGTCAGAAGCTCTTGCTGCCTATGCAGTGCCTGGATTTCTCTTCACCTCTATCTGAGACCATTAGGGTGAGGGCTTTCTTTCCCCGGGGAAAAGGGTTCTTGTTCATTTCCAGGAGCCCTGCAGTGAAATTTGCCATGTTAGCCCCCAGACTGAACACAGCTGAAGCTTTTTCTCAGAGAAAAGATGCCAGAACCAGAAACTCTTGCTGCCTATGGAGTGTCAGGGTGGCCCACCATCTTACCTTTCATCCTCTTTGATAAGTTAATTTTTTGTCTGCATTTTTAGGTTGTTTATCTTTTTCTCCCTCTGCCCAACAGACAAGTTTAGTTTCTTACCTGGTCTTTGCTGTTTCAGTGGGTATAGCTGCAGAAAGAGAGATAGTGTATTTATCCTCATTAGCAGTGTTTTCTTGCATGAGGGCCTTTACCCATCCCGAAGCTGAAAAACTCAGTGCTACTCCTCCCAGAGCTTTTCTACTTTGTGGCATTTGGCTTCTCCCTTTCCCTCGGGCCTCATGGGAATGTATGTGGGCATGGCCAGGGTTATATTAACCCAGGCCTTTGCCCAAGGAGGTCATTCAGCAGCTGGGCTTCAGTGGGGTAAGAGCTCTCCCTTTCTTTCAATGAATGGGACTTCTCAAGCTATTCCTGCTTTGTTGAAGCATCAGCTTTGGCATCCAAAGAAGCAGAGCTATATATGGCAATGAAGAGGATTACACTTAAATGCAATGTTTTTAAATTTAATAATTTCGTGTCCTGTGTTGGTAAGGTGCTTTTATAATTTGTAATCTTTTTTTCTTTTCCTTGGGAGCCTTGCATCTTTTAGATCTCCTGATGATCTCAACTGCAGCTTGGCATTTTTTCACAAGTGTTATCCCATCCTGAGGTGAAGCTGGTCTGTGTTGAAGATGGCTACAGACACACAGGTTTGCAAGTAGTCAGTGGAGGGTTACAGCCCAGAGATGGAGCGAGGGTTCAGGTGTCCGCTTAGGAATTGCTGGGGTGTTTTGAAGGTAGTATGGGTGGAAAGCAGCGTCCAGGAGCCCCCTAAATACCTGTGAAGGTATCCACTGACTTTTCAGATGTGCTACTTAAGTTTTCCTTTCATTCACCCAGATATTCTGCGCAATTACAGCTGTAGTCTTTGGCTGCAGGCAGTGACCCTGGGTGGTTTGCCTGAAGAGAAGAGAGACTCTTTCAGATCTCCCTATCTATCTGGGTGACTTTGGTTAGGGTTTCTTTACCATGTCAGAGGGACAGGGTGTAAAGCAGAGTTGAATAGAAAAGACGCCAGAGGAGCAGAGCAAGAAGGTGGGTTGTCACCTGACATCAGCACAAAGATGTGGCTTTTGGCTCCACGTATACTCGCTGCGTTAAGGATTTTCTTGTTTTGGTTTGGTTTTTCTTTGTTTTCAGCTGCAGAGCTCTGGGCCCAGGAGGCTATAGGCACTGGAGGGGAGGTGATCCGGGTGAGTACCTGGGAGCAAGGTGAGCATTGACTCCAGGACAGAACTAGATGGTCTTCCACAGGTCTTGTGGTGAATCTGTGCACATGCTTTGTTTCTTGTGTTTTCCAGGGTTTCTGCCACCTTCTAACAGACAGTCCAATTCTTCAGGGACCCTGTCGGTAAGAGGTCACTGTCGAGGAGAGGTAGGTAGGAGCTCCCACAGGAAAGCCATCCTTTCAGGCAGTATCTCAGTATGTACATTTGCTTTTGCTTGTTTTACTTTGCAGAAAATGTGTGCAGCCTCAGAGGGCCGGAGCCACCTGCCAATTAGGTTTAATGGTCTTCAGCTGTCCATGTGAGTAATCTCCTAGTACTATGAGGGTCATCAATTAAGGCTCAACCTCTTCCAGTTGCAGGTGCCATCCAGCCTGCCTTTGGCAATGGAGAAGCATTCGGGTTGAGTCGGGGAGGTAGCGAGGAGGTGCTGGGTGTTTCAGAAACACCACGTAACTTTTTTTTCCCTCACTCACCCAGGTACTGCACATGGTGATGGCAGCAGCCTCCGACTTGAGTCGGAGCCAGTGACCC